CCGTGACATCTCAGTTAGTTTGAGGTCAGGATTCAAAGCAACTCACTATTCCAAATCATGAATTTTCTGTTACTGATATAGTTGTTGCATAGCATCTCTTAATTTTATGGCCTTTGACTGCTACCTTAACATTCCTCTTTAAGGCTTCTTTACACAATTGTAAAATTTGTTGTTGCCTGAATTTTTGCAATTAGGCAGCAAAATGGATTGGACCCAATTTTGCCTCAACTGCCTTTGTTTGTTGTGGCATAGATTGAGCAAAGTGCTGAAAACCGCCCTCCTTTGGTCTTTATTGACATGACAGCATCACACAAAATATGAAAGCTGCACATTCATGATGGGAATCTCCATCTCCGCCATTCTCCTCTGCCCTCTGACATCAACAAATCACTTTTTTCCAGAAAAGTTCCATTTATTGGATATTTTCTTTCTTTTTTTTTGGACCATTCACTGTAAACCCTGAATATGGGTGTATTTAACAATGTGCCCAGGACTAAATTGGAGACTTACTAAGAAAAGACACCTTCTTTAGTACTTATGGTAAAATGTCAGATACACTTTTTCCCTAACTGTTTAATATTTGGGCTTTGTCCTACTGCATTACTTTTTAAGGCTTCTGGGAAACAACAGCAAAATGTAAACATTTTGTTGCACTTAAAACTGAAATCAGTTACAAGTGAAATTTTAGGCACTTCATCTTGCGATGACTCTATTTTTTATTTATTTTCTTAAAACTTTTAAAATATTAATTAAAAGATTTAAGAGGGTAGGGAAAAAAAAGTCATATCGCTCCCTAACAAAAATAAATGTTACCCTTAACTAACAACTCCTCGAGCGTATCAGATCTAAAGTTCATGCTTCAACGACATACTGCACACTACGTTCTGTTGCATTGTACAAAGAGCAGAATAACAAGAGCTTTTGCCAGAGGTGCGCTGTAGTTCAGGAAGACACAGACTGCAGGTTTAAGAAGCTGCAGAAAAAGGTCAATATCAGTCAAAGAAAGGTTCATTCTTCATTTAACCTCCAGGCTCTGTGGAATGAAATCTGAAGAATAACTCAGCAGCTACACAGATGTTTGTTTTTTCTCTCTGCAACATTAATGTATTATCACAATAAGAAAACAGCTGCAATTAGATCAGTCAGAATAGATTACACTGTGAGAAATACTTCCTCAGATGACTCATACCAAAGAGTGTTTACCAAAAAACGTATTTCACCAGAAAAACAAAACTTCACCGCAGTTCGTTGTTTCAGACAGTTATTCTTCCCCTGACCTTGCTCGTCCTTGGCTGTGGACTATAAGCCTGGTGACAGCGGCGTCAACTTGTCCTGTAATGTACAATCACATATTTGTGATAAATCCTGACCGCACAGATTTAAACCGTCCACTCTTGGCACCCGCTGCGGCCGATCCACAGGGTCACCGTTAGTGGAGAATATGATTTAGGAGGCCCGCAGGAAGTGGGCACGCCGAGACGTCTGAGTAAATCTACACCACCTTTTACCACTTTCAAGCTCAATTTTAAGAGTATGATCAACATGGAAAATCCATATTTATGAAATTAGTCAAAAGGTTCTCAAGAAAACTGACATTTTCAGGAGAATCCACAAGTGGCTCTATAAACATGAACATGAACATGTACTCCTGATGTTGGACTTCTATAATATCTATAACAACTACTGTTAATATCCAAGATGCAATCAATAAAAAAGTGATAGTATTACCAGTTAAATAAGGCAGAATGTTGAAATAAAAGAAAAAAAAAGATTAATCAAGTTAATTGCCAGTAAATTAACCACAGCTAATTCTGACATTCAATTAATTATTAAAAGCAGGGAGAAGAGAAAGGTCCAACAAGCCGTACCAAAATAGCTTTTGATAGCATGAAAACTGAAAAGAAATTCTTAAAGCTGTTCAATTTGTAGATAAGTAAAATACTGTTGTTGTTGTTTCAGTTACAAAATACTCTACAAGCTACAGTTTTGTGCAGTCATTTTGTAGATCAACTGTGATCTGTTAAAAGTACATGCACATATAATAACAGCTGACTGACTGTCTACAGAAGAACCTGAAACTGTGCTTCTTAAAATTCTTCTTAGAAAATCTCAACTGACCCACATTTTGTTTTGTAAGTGGATTTTACATTAAACATTTTCAGGGCTTCACTCTAAAAAAAGGGAAAAAATAAAAAGGAAGCTTCTTTTTCAGATTAGTTTTTATTCAGTGGTTTTACTGGTCTGACCCACCCAAAATAAAACTGGCCATATGTGGCCCCCGAACTATGAATAATTTGACACCCTGATGCACAATCAATTATCAAATATGTTATCTGGTAAAAGCTTTACACAGCTGGTATTTCATTTTTTTGCTGTTGAACTGAATATCTTGGGGTTTTCACTGATATGTAGAGTAAACAAGTAATCTGAAGATTTTACCTTGGGTTTTGGGAATCTCTGGTGGGTATTTTTAAAAAAATATTTTCTGACATTTTATAAATAAAATGTAAAAATAAAACATTTTATAAATAAAATGTTCAGTGAAAGAAATATCTGAGAAACTTTTGTATCATACTGAATTTTCTAGCACCGCTCAAGCCACAGGAAGAGAAAAGCAAAGCACACATGGACACACACAGATCTGATGTTACTTACAACAGAAAGAGGAACAATTTTCTTTTAATAGTCTTGACTCGTATTTGTACAATAATGTGTTATTTAGTCAAACTAGTGATGTGATGCGAGTGCTTCCTGTTGACAGTGAATCAAACAGGTGCATCATTTGTGTTTTCTGCTTTGTGAGGCAACTGCAAGATTTTGTTTTGTCTTTTTTTTCCCCGTGTGATGAAATCTCTAATGAAAAATGATGCAGCATAACAATCACGGTGTGAGCTAATGAATTCACACAAATACAAACCAACCCAGAGATATGCAGCCAATTTAGTGAGCACGAATCTAATTCTGGATTTCACCCTAATCAAAAAAGATGTAATTAATTAATCAGATAATTCACTGCCACGCATGGCAGGACACACATCTGTGCACTGGTAATGGGGAGGGAGAGAGCGAGAGAGAGAGGGGGAAGCTGAGCTGTGCGGCGCTTGTACTTCCCTGTAGCCAAGCTCGTCAGCAGTGCTGGAATCCAGTGCAGCTTTAAAAAAGGTCCAGCTCTCCCAGACGCTCTGATAGCCTCTCCTCTGTACTGTATGTGTGCTCTCAGCATGTGAGTACAGTGCGGCGTGTCGAAGGGATGGAAAGATCTGAAGCTGTTTGTGGTAAAGGAGGTGACATGAGGGAGGCCGTGCCTGTACAAGACAAACATAAACTGTGCCACTTCATCTGAAAACAATGGGGGACAGGACACTGAGTGTGTTCTCATCCACATCTCCATTGTCTACCCTCCTCTTTTACTCCTCCTCTGAGCATGGAGCATAAGAGGGGTGAAAGGGGGAGGGGAGGAGAGGAGGAGGGGGAGCAGCAGTGGGGGCAGTGGGGGTCTGGCTGTGTTCTTTCTCCTCTGTCTGTGTGCGAATGCACAGACGGTTCAGTAGTAATTTGATGTGTGTCCCCGGGGACATTTGATGGATTAAAGCTAAGCAGCTCCATTTCGCAGCACCACCTGATCTTCCACTGCCTGTGCCCCATATAAAGGCTGGCGTGATTGCTGATCTCAGCTAGTCTGACAGTCTCTCTCTCTCCCTCCTCTCTCTGTCTGTCTCCATCTCTTCTCTTCCTCACTGGTCCCTTAAGCCTGCTGCATCACAGGAGCTATCCAGTGCTGAACAGGATCGCTTTTATTTTTTATTTTTTTATTTTTCCGGGGGAAGCTGGGGGAGCCAGAGAGTATCACACAGCATTGCCGGCAGCCTTGTTGTCCACTGGTTTCCATTTTCTTTCTTATCTTATGTTTTTGGCTCTTGTCTTCACATTAACCACAAGGATTATCGTCAAGCCAGCTCTGCTTGTGTGCTTCCTCAGAAGGGTCTTTTCAGTTCTCTCATGCGTTTTTCTCAGCTCTGTGTTTTTATCCATTGAAACATGCCCCGCTCATTTTTGGTAAAGAAGATCAAGCTTGATGATTTCTCTTCGTCCAATGTGGCCACTTCCAATCATCATCACCACCTGGACGACTCGTTCACTTTTGCACGCTCCATCACAGACTCGGTGACCAGCCTCGGGGTTCGTCTCAGCGAGAATGGTGAGTTAACATGCCTCCAGTCCGAGCTGCTCCAGTTAAAGATGTGCTAGCGCTCCTGCCTGTAAACAGCTCCGGTGCTGATTTCAGCATGCCTGATATTTCCACACTTAGCACAGATGGTATCTTCTTTTGCTTTGTTGTTGAGTGAGAATTTCCTTTGAGTCAGCCAACAGCATGCTTGTAGCATGTAAATTAATTTAGATGTTACATTAAGCCAGCTGATTTTTGCACTGGTATCCTAAATAATCCTCTCCAGAGGCACCCCACCCCCACCAGTGTGCTCCCAGACTTTTGTTTTTTGACTCTAGTGAAGGACAGACACAATTCAGGTCAAAGCCACGGATTAGTTTATGTAAATAGGGAGCAAAACGTGTGTCTAATCAGGAGAAGCTCCTGTTACGTATTTGTATGACTGCACCAACCTGTGGTGGCTGAAGGCACATGGGCTGACTATATCTGGTCATCATGTGGACTAAAAAAATTCATGAATATGAGCGATGAGCATCAGATGATACATTTGTCCTTAGCTGTTATTGTCCTTGAGTTCCGATCACGGTCCGATCCTCCCTTGCCCCCCTCTTCCCATCCAAATGGAGCATGCACAGTCTCCCCACCCCCATCGCTCCACTACATCTTTCTCTTCCTTCCGGGCATTTGAAAACTAGCAGGGGTTAGAGTTTCAGCCGTGCAGGCCTATCGCCGCCACAAGAGACATTAACACAGTGTACAGTAGAGCCAGGAGGGAGGTGGGGAGTTGGGTTAAAGGGATAGTGAGGGGAAGGAGAAAAGGGAGACAAAAATGCTTGGGGCAGCAATGAGGCCGATCACGTGACAGATGTACAGTAAACACGAAGAAAGGCACATAGCTGCACTGTGGACACCACACTCACTGCTCGCACTAAGCTCCCGTCAGAGCTGTGAGGCGACCTTCACTTTCACGGTCCGCTTTAAGCCTGCCGCTTCCATTTTGTGGCCACGTTTGGTGGGCCATATGTGAGTCTTTGTTGTGGTTTCTCGGGATGTTTGCATGGCGAGAGAGGCTTCACGGTCCACGGCTAAATGCTGTGTTCATACCCACCTGTTATTCAACCTTGTCAGCAACAAGGTGAAATTCAAAAGACGGGGGATTAAAAAAAAAATGTTATTCGGGGCAAAAGAGACTGAACAGGTTTACAAAACTCTAAATAACTTCCAGGTGAAGACTAAAAAAATTATGTCTGTTAAAACGTTTTTATATATTTAATCATATAGTGCAGCTTACACTAATTCTGTTTTTTAGTTTTCCTTCTGCAAGATTTAAAATAATTAGAAATCCATTTGTATAATTTTTGTCACTCTCTATTGTTCTTGAATCTATTGTTCAACACCGTGAATAATGCATTATATTAAAAAGAAAGAAAACACAATAAGGCAAAACATTAATTTTGACAAAAGGTATTTAATTCTAACAAAAGAATTGTTCTTTTCATGCCGAGTTTAAAAAAAAAGGTAAAAAAAAAGAATCCTCAGCGTGGCTGAAATCCCTAACATCAGCACTTCTGCCGTGCCAGGAGAGTTTCTTCCCCCCATTGTGGAGACATTTGACTTGAGTGTCTGTCGAACAACAAAGAGGGGTGGCTGAGAGGGTCCATTAATTACATGCTTGCTTTGCATTACAGAAATGAGTCTATGGGCTGTAAAGGCTGATACAGCTCGAGTCCTAAAGCTTCGTGTCTGACCTTGGGTAATAGAAACATAGTAAACAATTCTGCTTATACTGATGCAGCAAAGTATGCTTTGCTGATATAAAAAAAAAAAAAAAAAAGCAGAAAAAGCCCATGCTGTGATTTGTAGCATGCAGTTATATTCATAACATTTAATAGTGTGGCTGCAAAACAGGTGGATTTAATTTCTGAAGCAGAAGCAGCACTTGCCTATTTAACTGTAATTATAAGAATATGTTTTTAAAGGATAAATAAACATGTGTTTTTTCTAGTAATCTGGTTTTGAAAACAAGTGTTCCTCTCTTTCTGACAAACACCATCTGTGCATTTAAAAAAGTGAAGCCATGCAGTGCAGCACAATAATGTGTGCGCAGGCCTGGTGTTTTCCCTGTCCCCGGGTGTCATGGTCATGTCTTTGACAAAGTGGGTGTGTGAACTCAAACCCTTGGGAATGGAGACGCTGCAGTAAGAGAGCACTTCAACTGATTTCTTAATGGCTTGTTTCTTGGAGGTACTTCAGTGTGCTCACTGCTGCAGACAGGTGACCTTCTTCACAAAAAACGTGCATGATGCCATTTTGCACAATATCAAGCACGCACTCAATAGACTGCTATTGTGTGTTGCAGGTACTTGATCTGTTCCTTGCATTATTTCTGTCTTCTCCAGCACTCAGCTGTTCTAACAGCTGCACTATTTTTACAGATGATAGCCTATTGATCACTTCAAAACTTTGAATTTCATTAAAAAAAGAAGTCAATACCTAATTTCCACTGCTTGCTGCACACGGTGCAGGAATGGCTTTTTTTCTGCAGTTATGCACTATTTGTCAGGGGAAGGAAATTTCACCACATTTTATGTTTGCTCGCTTATGTTTAACCTATAGAATATCAAGCCTGAAGGTAGTATATGCTCCAGAGATTCATAACGTAAGGCTAGATCGAGTTACGTTTTGATGCATTTAGCTGCCAGCCAGCCTTCTAGCTCCTGTAGCACTGAGCTGCTTCGGAGAGAAAGGAAAGACTTGAATGATGCCAATAAAATATATCACTCTGAAACCATGCTCTGCGCAGTTTAAATCACTTAGGGGCCTTGCTCTACTGCATCATGTTTAAACCTGCTTGAAGAAGTAGCACAAAAGACCTGCATTAGATATGCATGTATCACATTAGTCTGTTTCACAACAAGCAAAGAAACACATTTAATTTGTTAAACCTGTATAAAAAGCTTTAAAATAAAATAGTAAAAAAAGGGAGATTTTTATTCTAGGATTTAGTCTTAAAATATAATTCTTTTTGATGTCAGCAGTCGCAGTGAAGGACGGGCCAGTCAGTGAGCCTACTACATTTTAATATGCATCTTCCTACACAGGAGACTTCTTTGATGAGCTATTATCTAGCGCTCATCTTTATTGTAAAATTGCAACCTCTCTAAACGCAGCTGAGCTTGCACGTTTATCCTGCATCACTGAGCTATTGTCTGTACAACCTGTGGGTTGTGGAAAAAATGAAATTAGCTCTGCCACTCAGTCTTTCACCATCATGCAACACTACAATCATGTAATCATTAGCATGTCACTGTGTCCTTACTCATCACAACCCTTGGCCAACTGTGTTTGTGTGTTTCTCTTGTCCAGGATACATCCAGGATTACATCACGCCATCTGTATACCAGGGGGAGAAGAAGATGGAGCACAAGCTTGCTTCACCAGTGTCAGACCCCCTGTACACCCAGGTGAGCAGCGGAGGGGAGTACTGTGACCCTGACCTGAAGCACCCCGACAGCCCCCAGTCTGGCATGACCGCCAGCGGCTTCTACACTGGTGAATCGGAGGCCCTGGCCGAGGGTTACACCATGGATGCCTTCTTCATCTCTGACGGGCGCTCGAGGCGAAAGGGAGATGGGGAGAGTCGTGGTGGAGGCTCCAGAAGCAGCAGTGCCAACGGTGGGGCTCAGGAGAGGGGAGCCGGCACGCCTCGCCACACCTGCAATGAGTGCGGCAAGACGTACGCCACCTCCTCCAACCTCAGCAGACACAAGCAGACGCATCGCAGCCTGGACAGCAAGATGGCCCGCAAGTGTCCCACCTGTAGTAAAGTGTACGTATCCATGCCAGCGCTGGCCATGCACATCCTCACCCACGACCTCAAGCACAAGTGCGAGGTGTGCAACAAAGCCTTCAGCAGGCCGTGGCTGCTTCAAGGTCACATGCGCTCACACACGGGGGAGAAGCCCTTTGCCTGCGCCCACTGTGGCAAAGCCTTTGCTGACCGTTCAAACCTCCGCGCCCACATGCAAACACACTCTGCCTTCAAACACTACAGATGCAAGCGCTGCAATAAGACCTTCGCTCTCAAGTCCTACTTGAACAAGCACTATGAGTCAGCTTGCTTCAAGGGCTCTGCAGACGAAGATGACTCTGGATCAGACAACTAACCACAAGGAAGAAGTAAAACACTGAACCCCTGTTGTAGGTTCACAACCAATAACCCTGTTCACTCTGCCCTCCATGCCTTTTTTCTTCCCTTTTTTTAGAAAGCAATATTTTCACTGAGATTACGTGAAGAAACTCTAATGATTATGGCAAAGACAATTTCAGAAGATGCTGGATTTTTTTCCCTGCACAGTAGCTAATCGTCCACAGAAACATACAATCAAACAACCTTCCCCCAAATAGAGACTGTAGATGATAGATGTACACAATTCAGCAACATGCTTGCCACGGATGTGGGAACATGGAAACACACAAAGACATGCGTGCACACACAGACACACACAGACACACACACACACGATAATATATGAGGCCTGGCATGTGAATTTTTATCAATGACTAATATGATATTGATATCAATAGTAATAATATTTAGAATCCTGATATTTTATAGGAAATAGTAATGAAAAAAGAAAAAAAACATAAAAAAGGACTAACAGTGTTCTTTTGTTTTTTAGAGACAAAATGACCTCTTGTATTTTTATGCTGCTTTTTATTTGCTAAGAATTGAATTCTTTTGCAACTGCCAACATGAACTTTTTATGAAAATGTGAACTATGACAGTATTTGCAAAAAAGGGAGATCATTTTAAAAGGTAAAACACACAAACCCCTTTTCCACACCAGTGTTTCAATTCAATGGATGTTATTTTTCTATTTGATTTTTCTAAATTTATTTTTTTGTGCTGATTATCCCTTCTTAATCAAATGCTTCTTTGTAACTGTGGGTACTCACAAAAAAAACGCCGAGTTAAATAAGCTATTTAAGATCATAGGTCATCCAATTCAATTCTGCAAGAGCAGTGGTTTTAAAACGTTGGCCTGTTGAACAGGTTATCACGCACTCCGCCTGATCAAATTCATAGTCTCACCCTGATGCACAGACACTGAGAGCCAGACCAAATGATCTCGTCGTTATAATAAGTGCCATGTGCGGTTGACTCGTCTATAGCAATGAAAACTCGTTGTTCTTCCTCCACCGTGGTGGCTTCCATAAACTCCAGTCTTTACGAGCAATCTTCACCCAGTGTTCGAGGTGCTCCCCCCCCTCCGCCAGTGTTACCTCAGAGTGAAGGTATGGACTCACCCACCCTCAGTTACAAAGTGACAGTCAAATTTTTCTGTTTGTCTGTTTTATATGTCGCTAAAAGCTCCGCCCACAGTTTAGATGCATCCCATCTATTTATCATGTAAATACTTTATTTATTTACCTATTTATCTATTTATTTATTTATTTACCTGATTTTGTGTATTTATTGAAGACTTGCTTATTTATCATGTATTTATTTATGGTTTATAATTTTTAAAAAAGGAACATCCATTGACCTTGTAAGATGCTGCTGATTTTCAAAGAAAATGTTTATATGCATGAAAACTGTAGAGAGTCCATGGGACTTAGTTTTTTAAAGAGGAACAATGTACAGTAGCAGCGCTAGAAGACTTCAAATGAATGACTGCAGAAGTATTTTTGTTTTTGTGGCAATAACTTACCTGACATAGCAATTGACATGTATAACAATCATAACTCCACCTAGGGCAATAAAATGAAACAACTTTATCTCACGGTTTCTCCAAAGTCCACCTCCCCCTCCTCTTCCTCCTCATTACTGAAGATTTTCCGGGACTTTCTGTCTTTAAATCTCAGGCGACAAGGAATTTTTATTAACGGCTGACATAGACATGGATGTAGATGTAAAAACAAGTCAAATGATGTAGGTGTAATTAAGTTACACCAAGTCTGCAAAGGTGAAAAAGCAATAATAATTGTGAGAAAGTATCAAAATCTGTTCGTATTCACCTGAAAGTATTACTGTTGTTCAGACCAAGCAGGTGCAAAAATATCTTCTGGCAGCTTGAGTAACTGAATTGCTAGAAGGTTTACAATAAATCTCATTTAACACACTGACATAATAAAGCAATTAAATATAGTTAAATAAAGTCGCAACCGATCCCAAACGTGTCACGTGCCGTTGAAGGAAATCTCTGAGGCAGAATAAAGCTGGCTGCACGTACATCTTAACCAGCACTAATGGAAATGATCTTGACATGAACTGCCTTGGTGGAGAAAGTTTTCAAGACTGTTGCAATAAAACGACGCGCTGTAATGCACTTCTAACTCCCACATCATTTGTCCCGCATCCCTCCCCACCCCAACAGCCGTCCTCATCCTGTCCCAACTGCTTCTAAACAGACGCAGCGAGGATGAGATGTGCTGAAGTGGGATTGGCGGAGGGTGGCGGAGTGTGGGAGGATAACAGGTGTTTGCAGACAGACTGCAGATAGGGAGCGTAATTGAGTCGGTGAGCGACCTCCAAGGGGAAGGTCAAGCACCAGCAGGCAAATGCACTGTCAGCTATTTGCATATTCCAAATGGATGGCACGATCACAGTAATGCTGAGCTTGCCCTTAATAAAAACAAAAACACAATGCTGAGGATAAAAGAGCGTAAAGATGAGCTTCTGCTCTGTTTGTCCGTCCTCTCCTCCCCGTTTCACCATCATCCTGTCAATGCTCGCCTAACCGCTACAGCTGAATCACTGCATGAGAGCATCCAAACCACCTGTCTCTTGATTAACTTGCCGAACACACGTCGCTGTATTAGTGAACTAATGCAGAGATCACTGCTTCCAACTTATTCTATGTTTTACATTTCACCATGGCATATAAGGCATCTCCAAAACCTTTACTAAGGCAGAAGGCACCGAGATCATTAAAAAAAGATTGATTGGACATATATTATACCTGTAGGCTTCTATCTAAAACTGCGAGTATTACAGCTAGTCCTCAGAGAAAATACTAATTGCAGAGAGGGAGGCACAATTTGATTCCAAACTACTGATTTAGACGTAGGGAAACATTGTTCCTCTTTGATAATTTTGTAAATATATTTGTAAATATATCACAGCAATAATATGACAATGCATGTAGACATTTAATTGCTCTTTTTCTATTCATGCTGTCTTTTTTTATTTAAAGAAAAAAAAAAGACAAATACAGGTACCAATTGCAGTCTGGGTGGCCACGTGAATCAGGGAGTGTCTTGATTAAAAAGCTATCTGTTGTAAGTTACAAACAAAAAAACCTTCAAACTCTGTGTATTCTCAAAGATTTGATCATGTTCTGTTTTTCTTTTTAGTTGTATTTTTTTTTTCTTTTTAATTTATTTTCTTCTATTTATGTGCCCGGCTTGGCTGCGCAATGAAAAAGTGCCAAAAAGTATGATTTCCATGACAAAAGCCTTCAACATATGGTTGGCTGCTTGAAACCTTCCATATGGTCCTCAAAGAAAAAAAAACTGATTAAGATTTTCCACTTTCATCCTCTCTTTCTCTCTATTTATCTTCCTTCTCTCTCTCTCTCTGTCTGTCTTTCTCTGTTCCAGCTGAGTATGAAGAAACTTAAGCCATGATTGCTGAGGGGTGTTTTGATTTTATCTTGTTCTGCTACAATTAATAATGATGACAACAATAGCAATGATAACGTTAATAAAAACAATAGCACAAGGAACCTGCAAGTCCACTCTTCCCTTTAAAACAGTCAAATATTATTTTATTAAATGATAACGGGGTGTTTTTGTGTTTTTATTATCAACACATGCACACACACATGTATCCTGCAGATGTTTGCCCACACACTTAGAAAATGGCCAGCCTGGTATCTGTTTGGAGTATCCCTTAGTCAACATTAGCAGAGTGAGTAATTGTAATTATGACTATAATGTGCCATCAGCTGTAGCCTCCTCTGTCAATGTTTGAGGGATTTTATGAGCTTTACTGTCAATTTACTAACTTTTAATTTCACCGCTCGGAGGCACAGAAATGCCAATATCCTTTGTTTTTCACAACAGCTCGGAACGGGAGTGGTCAGAGGACCTGACAGCACCAATGTAGCTTTGAATAAGAGTTCCTGAGATGTCGGCGTTATCAAAAGCAGAGGCATCTGTTCCACCACTATTAAGCCCTTCCTGGTCATTAAATTTTAATGGAACATTGATTTTATGCTGGAACTACTCTTTCTGAGTGACTCAAAAGCCAGAGAAAAATATGGAACAAAATAAAAATGAATCATGACAGCGAACAGGGATTATTATTCTGGGGCTTTTCTTGATTGGTTTCCAGGGAATATACAACACTTGAATTCAATCGCTTGTGTCCTTCAGTGTCCTCCAGCAGCACAGCAGCAGTATAATGAGACAGCAGGCAGAGCAGAGCAGGGGCTCAGAAACAAGACGCTTAGCTGCACACTCCTTCCTTCAACATGGGGAAGCGGTGATTATCCTGGCTCCTGCCTCCATGGTAGTTATCCTAAAGTTAAACACGTAACAAAATAAAGCGGCATATTGGTTTTCACGTGTGGAGTCAAATGACAAGTTTATAGCCAAGTGCTGATTAAGCTCGCAGCACTGCAGACCGCACATCAACATTCACATGCGGCGCTCACTCAAACTTTACCCCGGCAGATGTTGTCCCTTATCAGATTTTATGATGAAAGTAAATAACTGATTTCATTACACGGCAATGGACTGTAAAATGGGGACCCACAGAATCCAATTACATCACCCATGGGTGTGCTGTGTGTGTAACAACAGCCACTGTGAGCGATCGCCATCAGGAGGCAGGTAGGGCAACTGTGGCCCTGCATACTATATCACACCCCCTCATCTGCAACGCTCCAAAACCCGGCACACAGCCAGCACCTCCCACTGCCCTCTCGCTGGCAGCAGATCAGGTAAATTATTTAAAACAACCTGCAAAATTGAGCGTGCTACACCCACACTTCAAAGATATTGACTTGAGAACACCATCATCTTCTGAGTGACTGTCTGAGAGAAAATATTTCTGCCTTCTGAAGGAGTAAGGGGTTAATAAAATGCTACCGCACAAATCTAGAGCAACAGGAACCGTTAAACCTCGCACACTGGAAAAAGGGTAACACTGCACACAAAACGAAGTAGCTGTGTTTTCTTTACTAATACGTCAATATATTTGCCAATTTTGCTAATATGTTATCTGCCTTAATCATGCAGCGTTTGATAAAGGTTTGATTACAAAACTGTGATTTAATTTTTTTTTTACTATATTATGACATTTGTTAGATTAATCAGTAAATTGGGAATCTAATAATAACAATAATCTTTAAAGTATAGTATGTGCTCTGTCCAGCATGATCTTGTCTAAAAAGTTGAACTTTAAAAAAAATCTATCAAATAGAAATTAACCTGGAAAAATTTTAATACTCAAGTATCTGTGCAAGAATTTTTAAAGCAGAAGTACTAAAATACTTTGTTGTTGAATATTTATTTTAATTCTTTAGCAGCTTTTAAATGAAAGATTTGAATATTTAAAAAACCCAAAACACTCTTTTTTTTTTTTTTAATTTTAACTTCCTTGAAAAAAAACATCTGCAGTTTTTTTTAAATTATTAATTTGATGTAGTTCAAATTCTGATTTGCTACTCTGCACAGGAAAGTCATACACAGGCTATTGTGGTAAACACGGCAAACAAGCAGAGCTTAAACAACAATTTTGTTAATCAGTGAGTCCTTTCAGGTGCTCGCTCCCAAACATTTCCAGGTTCTGGCTTCTGACATGTGAGACTAAAGAGTTTTATATAAATAAATATTTCAGTGTTTGGGGCACATGCCGAGATCTCTTTTTTTCCACTGTTCATGGAATAAATGGCTCATTAATTCATCAAAGATCGGTCATAAAATAGACTTAATGGATGCTCCTGCTGAATTTACAATCACTCTTTATTTCAGTTGCTGCAGGTGTCTCTCAGTTACTGGCTGGTGAAAAAGCAAACAACTAATCATTTTTGTAATTATCTAAATTATCATTAACTAATTCAACTCTCCTTTATCTGGTGCCGGCCCTTGCTCTGACCCTTTTCATACATCTGGCGCCATCTGTAGGCTGTTCACCAACTGTCAGTGTAAACAAAAAAAAAACAAAAAAACAGGCTTTGATGTTGATGACAGTGCTGTCAGTTCAACTGGATGATTCAGCTGAAGGAGAAAATCTGCTCTGTATCGTTTTCAAGCTCCTAAAATCCACATGCAAACAGTGCCCCACTGCATAACCAGCAGGTATGCACCCTGACCAAAGTCACTCAACAAGAGGTTGGTAAAACCAGCCAGGACCAACCAACTGTAACTGCCCCTTTAAGAGCTAACAGTTTGTCTTTTCACATTCTGCATCACAGGAGAGATGCTCATTAAAAGCGCCTCCATTCCTCACTGTTTCATCAAGTGAGACTGCCAAGCTCTTTAACTCAGTGTTCTTGATGTTTGTGCTGTTTGTGTAAAACCCATCTGTTTCCTCATCTCTCTGTTGGCAGAGGGTCCACCTCATCCGTATGCTTCTCTTTTTGAAGTCATGTCAAAATCGCATTTTTATGCATCTTAGATATCCAACTTGTCATCAGCACTCAGGCAAAAGTCAAGGAGGTTATTCCTTAAATAGCTCCTTTTTCCTTCATATACAATGTACGCAGTAACAAGGACAGCACTGCATTGCATTATAATTAGCAGAGCTGCAATAATTAGCTGATTAGCGTATAACTTCATCAATCAGCAATTATTCTGATTACAGAAAAATAACAAAGCAAATTTTAGACCAAAATTCAAAATATTTACTTCTTAAATGTGAGGACGTTTACACAAACTTCAGATATTTTTTTTTTTGTTCTGATGAGGATTAAAAAATATTTTACAGAATTTGCTGATTATGAAAAGGGCAGTTCAAACCCATATTTAATTGTTGTGCTTTTTTAAAGCATACTAATTAATGTCAGTTGAAACATGATAAGAAGATAGCACTGAATTGTGTTCAACTCGATGAATTCGGTAGGCATGTCTGATTATTTTATCACAGCCTTTTTGTCAGGTCACTCTAAAAAGGACTAGTGATTCATCTGAAAATGGAAATGTGCCTGTAAAATAGCAAATATGACCTTCATCGTTTTTGATGGAGACGCATTAAATGATCACGGTGTATAAATTCTGACCAATCTTGTAGGAGAACTGACTCTTGTGAACAATGAATCAACGGATGGACAGACAGACGCTTTGCCACATAAAAAATAATCGTTAACTTTCTTTATTGTGTGCTTTTTCTCATTTTTGTGTGAATGAATTATACTCAGAAGATGAGCGTTGGGTGCAGGCGACCATAATTGTGTAAAAGCTAACTAACAGAACAACTATCTAAGATTTTTCAGTACAATTGTGGCTTTAAAATAAACACAATCTATTTTCTAAATAAACATCAACATATAACAATATAACAACAATAACAATAATATAATTACAACAATATTAAAGAACTCAAATCATTTTCTGTCCTGTTATTTCTTGTTTAGCCAACTCGATTTTTAATACCTTTGTAGTTCAGCATATCACACTGGGAGGAAATTACTAGAACTATTTTTGAACACACACATTGTCCTATACATGCATAGATAAACAACGAATAATTTAATAGGGATCACTTTGCATGAGCGTTACTGTCTGTCTGATTTAAAGAGGCCAGATGCTTATCCATCAGCTGTTATGTGTTCACATGTGTTTAAATGTTGGCTTGCTTAAGTAAGTGGAGCGCCCTCTGTTGGGTTTGAGTTAAACAGCAGTAAAGACTCAGTGTAGTCAGTCACCTCCAGGTTAACTGATATTTACTGACTTTTGGAGGTTGTTTTGTTTTTCTTTTATGACTTCATGAAATGAGATCATCTACTGGCCGGTTCTGGTCCTCAGAACAAACTGTTTTGATGTGAGTTGGTGAGTTATAGAGATACACTCTCTGGTCACTTTACTAGCACACCTGTTCAACTGCAAATATCTAATCAGCCAATCACATGGCAGCAACTCAGAGCATTTAGAAATGTATACATGGTCAAGATGACCTGCTGAAACTCAAACTGAGCATCAGAATGGGGAAGAAAGGTGAATTACGTGCGGTATTTTCACCACACAACCATCTCTAATGTTTTGAGAGAAAGGTCTGAAAAAGAGAAAATACCCAGTGAGGAGCACTTCTCTGTGTGATCCCTTTAGCAATGCCAGAAGTCAAGAGGAGAATGACCAGACTGCAATCCTTCCTTGTATCAGTGGTTCAGGTTGGTGGCAGTGGTGGTGCAATGGTATGAGGGCATATTTTCTTGGAACCTTGGGTCCCTTAGTACCATGTGAGTATTGTTTAAACACCACACCCTACCTGAATATTGATGCTGACCCTGTCACACATCTTCTGACGGCTGCTTTGTCACAAAACTCTAATCATCTCTTGGAACAGGAAATTCACATCATGGATGACAAATCTGCAGCAACTGTGTGATGCTATCATGTCAACATGGACTGAAATCTCCAAGGAATAGTTCCAGCACCTTGTCGAATCTATGCCACAGAGAATTAAGCCAGTTCTGAAGGCAAAATGAGGTCCAACACAGTACTAGCAAAGTGTATCTAATTAGATGGCCAGGGAATGCAAGTTATACCTTGTGGTGCCAAAAAAGAAAAGAAAACTCAGCAGCAATGCCTATTGGAAGAAATCATGATTTAGTTAATCAAACTTGTGTGCAAATCTCTTTCTATACCAAACCAGATCTGCCAATCCTATGATTCTTCAGAAGAAAGAGTCCAACTACCCGTGACGAGATCTCATGTTGGAAAGAGCATGGCAGGATAAAAGCTGAAGTGTTAGCTTCACTGGAATGGCAGACGTAGACCGAAGAAGAAAATAGTTCCTACATGAGACTGCTCACTAGATGGTTTGTGGATTTTTGTTGAGTAGCCAGGTCGTGATTTATATAAAGAGACACCGATGCAGACTTTCTCACATGCATTTTTTTTTAATCACCTCGAGCGCCACAAGATGAGTGACGTTTACTTCTTATATGTTTAAGGGGAGATGGAAAACTCCAAAACCTGGAAACTCACACCAAACAATCTGGGAAAAACAGCACTATTGGAAGGAGGGAAATCATGTTAATTAGATTTTTGGATGAACTGTTTCTTTTGGCTTTACAGTTGGAAAAAAATGTCTCTGTGCTTTTGTTTTTGCTATAAGGTCAATGAACGGTGCACTGAGTGTGACTGCAGTTTAATCCACATCTAAATAACCTCTCTCCGAAGCACCACTTGTTCTCTCTCTGTAGATGAGATTTGGGGTGCAAATTTATTTCAAGGCGAGGAAGATCATTAAACAGAAATCTCATTCTCATGTACTTGAAGGAGATAGTGCAGAAAATAATTTCATAGATTTCGGCAGCGACAGCCATCGGCGAGTAATCAACATCACTGAGCGAATCAGTCACACGTTCGGCCGGAAACACGCAGACATCCGCTGTTGCTAAACTGTGCTAAGATCTCACACACATTCATCTATCACAAAGAAGACTGAAAAGCAGCATCAGAATAATTATCACTTTAAAAGCATGTCAACTTGTAAAAAAAATAATACTGCGTAAATAAATATAGCTCACTTCGTTGTCTGAAAGCTGGCAGGTAATTTTCTCCAGCTGCTCTAAGTGTGACAATCCCACGGGGACTGAAATCTAATATTAACAGCAAATCATTATGTGGGAACTGTTCTTCCGTGACCTGCCGCTGTACCTGTGTGACTAACTCAATCTAAGTAATTGAGATATGTTAACAACTCGCATACCACCCTGCTGTGACAGCAGAGGGTCACGCAGAGTGTAGTGGGACTCTGAACACACTTTAACGCTGGAGATGATTTAAATGTCTATACTGCTTGACTGACACGGTCTCTTGTCTTCATGTGACGCTGGTTTCTTTTCAAACGGCTTTTGATTGACGGCAAAGCAACAATTCGACTATGGTATGAAGTGGTGAATGAGAGGGGAGAGACATGTCACTGTACTTATTTACTATACTGCAGTTATTCATGCAGGAACACTAAATCGTGGAGCCCATGTCAGCATATTATGATCCATGTCACTATATTAGAGTTTAAGTGGGGTTTTCAGTATTCTGGTGTCAGCTAAATTGCTCTTTCGGAAACAAAGTAGAAAATGTGAGGCAGTTTTCAAAGCTAAGCTGTTCTCCAGTGAAATAATAAACAGATTGCTGTTTCTACACAATCACCTGACAATGAGGCAAAAAAAAAAAGAAAAAAAGCTGATTACACCCACTGCAGCATAACAGGATCCATTTTGTTCAGCTTTAATCTGTAATACTATATTATATGCTGATACCTCTGTTAATGATTACACACTATATATAGGCCACTTTCATGTTCTAACTGATCCCCGTGTGACCAATTAATCACCATAAAAGGCGCTGCCACTGCATTTCAAAGAATTTCTAATAATTCAATATACTGGGCTGCCTCTTCTGTCCAAGAAATCAGTTTTAATTGTCTCATTAGAAGATGATGCTGTAGCTTGCTGTAGCTGTGGCTTGGAGAAAACAATAGTTGTTTCCGCTCCACCGCCGCAGATCTTTTGAAGTTTACTTACCTGTGTGAGCCCAGACATCCTTTTTTTCCCATGTAGCCACAGCAACCTGGCTGGGTCTTTGAAATCCCTGCAAAAATAGAATATGAACAAGTGAGGAGGAGGAGGAGGAGGAGGAGGAAGAGGCCCATATCGTGCAACAGTCCACAAAACAAACAGTGACCTCATTAATAGAAACCACTGCCACCGAAGGGCTCTGGGGTTGTTGCAGCTCTACATAACTGCACGATTAATTTCTGGAGTGAATTTTAATGGGACACAGCAGTTTTGCAGGCATGCGTTATATCTACACGTCTTTAAATGCTACCAAATGCACACCTAAAGTTTCTACTTTGGTTGAAACCCTGTGACCGCTGCCCTCGAGAGGGCATGGCAATTGTGTGATTGACAGAGAGAATAACCAATCAAAACCTTTCATTTTTAACAACAGGAAGTAAAGCAACAGTCGAGTGTACTGTAGTCGGGGGGTATGCTAAATGTTTCGGCTGTACTGTGGTGCAAAATCTCCGCTGAAGCTGGTGTTTTTAACCGGCAGAAATATGTCGATAGCGCCCACTGACCGTGGACCGGCGGGCGGTGACCAAAGCACCGACAACAGGTCGATTCACTCGGACACCGTGGAGGAGGTCCATAACATCCCGATGCAGGTCATCATCAGACCATTTCCTCCAGTGCTGGACGAGCAGAAAGTCCAGAGCCTGATGGACACAATAAGGGTGACACGGTTGTTTTATGTTATCATTTGTTTGTGGATGATGAAGTTTCGGGGTAAATATTGGCCTCAGTTTAGCTACACACCTCTGTAGTGACAGGTTTTACTATAACAGCGCCAAATACGCTAAACCAGGCACCGTTACAAGAAAAAAAACCCCAAACATCTGCAAACATTGGAAAACATCTTTGTTTTCCAAGTGCCTTTTTAACTTCCCAAACACTGCCCCAACTCCTCCCAATAAATGACGTACTTGTGATGAAGACCGTTGGCGCCCCCGGTCCAGCTGAAGACATGGCAGTTTTTTTCCTGCATTAACCTGCATGGCTTCTCTGCTTTCTCCACTTTCACTGTATGCAAAACAACTACAGAAAAGTGGCTGTCACCTCATTAAAAAGAAAATCAAAAGAAGCTGGTATTTTATCAAGTGTTGACTTTTGTATTTTTGAGCCAATCACAATATAGGACATTGTTTCAGTATGATAGATAGATAGATAGAGATTACACAGGATTGGTGTTAAAGGGTGGGATTTTCTTCAAAAATCAATATATATTTAGTTAGAAATAGTTCCTTCCTCGCTTTATTGGGAACATTTCAAAATTATTATAGTCATTTTGTTTATCAGAAGAGGCAATAAATAGAATATATGAATGACACTTTTTACTTTAAGACATTTTCTTGTCGTACTTGCTTAAATTTCACTCCACACCTTGTTGTAGGCTTTAACTGACACTTTATCTTTCCTTCCAGGAGACGGCAGATATCAGCGTTGTTCCTCCTATTGATGTGCTCTGGATCAAAGGCAGCGAGGGAGGAAATTACTACTACTCCTTTGGAGGCTGTCACAGGTTTGCTGCCTATCAGAGGTTGAACATGCAGACCATTCCAGCAAAGATCATCAAATCTAACATCTCAGACCTAAGCACTTACTTGGGGGCTTCAACGCCTGATCTGCGGTGATGCTGGAGCAGCTTGGAGCTTTCCACCTCACTCCACCCCCCGCTTCAAATGCACTTGCCTCAGGTGGATCATACATAATATGGCTGTAACTCTCCTGTTGGTGACTGCGGAGCAAAGGCTTTGCCAGCAGGGGGAAATGTAGCTCTTTAGTTAAATATGTTACATTTTGTGATTTGAAACAACTTAAATGTATGCATGTTAATCATGATAGCTTTAATGTTGCCAAATACCATCTGCACATACACATTTAACAGTTTTCTTAAAGTTCTTTATTTAAAAAATATGACAGCTGAGATTGGGCTAAGATAAGTTTTTTTTGTTTTGTTTTGTTTTTTTTTACTTAAATCGACTTATAGTGTGAAAGTATGAAAGAGAAAATGAATTTAGCACATCTTCATGGCTCTTGGTTATAAAATGAAACCTTAGCATCGAGCCCAATAACAATAGACAAAAGTGAGAGTGTCGATCATCTTACTTCATGTAAGGAGAAAGGCGAGATGAGCTGTCGGAGAAAACGAGGCACCAACTATTCCATAAACCCAATTTTAAAAGTATAAACCTATATAAAAGAATTTACTACAAGCTCTCAATGTTGCTGGTTTTATTGGTGATCATGGAATAAATATTACAACTAATTTACCTACATTTATTAATGATTCATTTTTTAAAAAGAAATAAACACCAGTCTTAAATTAAATGAACCTTTTATCCATTTGCTTTTTTCCAGTCTGCATTCTCAGCTGTTTGCTAATATCATAAAGATGATGTGAAGATGATTTTTATAATAACAAACTTCTTAAAAAGTGACATAAACAAAGACATGCTACATATGTATACGATTCAACGCTGCAAAAAATTGTAAAGACAATACGACTTGCATCACTTTTTTTTAAAGCATGTAGAGCCTCTATTTTCTCTTTTCCATCACAACTCTGCTTCATCTAAATCTTTGCATATATAATGCCAGTTACTCATTATTTTGATGCTAGTTGTCTGTGGATGCTCAGATGCAAGTAGTGATCAGCTCAACCCCGTCAGCCTTTTAAATGATGAAGCAGTTGTTTTAGCAGTGTGTTTATTCTGTAAACATAATCGAGTAACC